GGGGGGGGGGGGTGGGGTGTGTGCGTGTGGTTATTCCTTGGTGGTCTTGGAGCGTTGCCAAAAACGCCGACAACTTCCTTTTTGCCCTTTCGATTGTGGAAGGACGTGGTTGCGTCAAGGTGCTGCCGGAGTGTTGTCTCGTTTGGTGCCTGTTGCAGATCTGTCTTGCCATGCCTTTTCACGGCAAGAAGAGCTGTTAGTTGTCGATGACTTGTGCTATGTAACCAACCATAGTAGCGCGCATGTGAGGAGTTTGTAACCTGCGTTGTGCCTGAAAGGGGCTAGCGGCCGGGATCATTGTGCTGTCGCCAGGGGACACCACCGGAGCACGCAGATAGGAGGGGGGGGGGGGGNGGGGGGGGGGGGGTTCGTAGATCGCGAGCGAGCTAGAGCAGGGGGTTCTGCAAAGACTTTGAAGAGGAGGATGTTGCACAGCCTTCGTATGTGTGTACAAAGATGGGTTCTTGGACGGCAGCACGAAACATGCTTCACAAATATGTGTTTGTGTAACGAATGGTGACCGTTGCGAAATAAATTGTGGGTACAGGTACAGCAGTGATTAGTGTTGAGGGAGGGCAATCAGTGAGAGAATAATATCTGAAACCGTTGGCATGACTCTTCGTGACTGTGTTGGACTCCATCGGTCGTACGTGGTGTCGCCCCGCGCCCGGTTGAGGTGCCGGTCAACCGCAAGTCAAAACTTGTATCGATATATGAGTCGAACGTGGTTCACATCTCTTCTCCCCACGAATGTTTATGGCCGACCGCGTCGACATACATGCATATGTATATATATATATATATATATATATGTCGGAAATCTCAGACGGCTTGACTTCCCGGAAAAAAACGCCCTAGACAAAATACTTCGAGCGTTCAGAACTGGGGCGAGTCGGAGATGGCCTTTGGGGAGTTCACAAACCAACTCCGGGCCCACAAACACAACACTGTTTTCTTCTAGACGTTCCTGAGAACCGTTCCAAGGCAAGTGTGCCCGTTCTAGGCAACATTCCCCTAAACCGTAACCGGATGCGGCTGTTTGAGTACAGCAGCCCCATCAGCGGCCGAAAGAGAAAACAGGTTGACTCAAGACCAATCAATATCCTTGGCGGGTGGGAGGCCGAACGAAGGAGCACGTGAGCATGCAGTCAAAATCTCGAAGCACCCCGCCCATATTTTCGTCTCTCTCTGAAAAGGGGGCAAGAGAACGAAGAGTCGACCAATCGGAAAACTGCGGGCGCCCTTTCTTTTTCTCTGCCCATCATGCCCATAAAGTACATGACCCCCGGAGGCCTGGAGATACGTACTCGGTGATGTGCATACAGCAGGGAAGGACAACGTTTTAAACAAACACTCGCGAAAATCATCACTGCGCACCACAACATTTGCCCCCCGAAAGTCACATGTCATAAAATTTAGCCAACGATCAAACTTGAACTACGACCTCTCGCGAAAGAGCCCACCGTGTTTTCCGCAAGCTCACGTCTCGACTTTCCTTCCTCGTCAGAAAGAAAAGCGCCCGACGAGGATGAGAAGGGGAATGGCAGCCAGAAACGGGCGTTATAGTACTTACTTGTTAAAACTTCCGGTTGCCTTTTTGTTCTCGTCTTTGTCTTACCGTGCTCCGACCAAGAATCATGGTGGCGGGAGTCTTGTGCCATTGTCCTTGTAGCACAAAAATCGCTTTCGTGTATTTGGTTGTTGCAGTACACCGCTGACGGTGGGGGGACTGTGATCAGATTTTTGTTCGTTGCGTTCAGATTGATAACATTATATCTTTGGAGGCATTCGCAACTATTGCGTTGTTCCTGCGGAGCTGACATTTATTTTGCCGATTATTCTATGGGTGCGTTGTTGGGTACATTTTCCTGCATACGGTAGGAGTCATAACTTCTGATGATGAACACATTGACTTCCCGATGTTTCCGGGCGTCTGGTCTTCTTATTCGTCAGTAGAGCAGAGGCTGGGAGTACTATTGGGAAATCAACTTTTGATTTCGGAGGACGACGTCATCTTGGAACGATGGCTGATCTGGATTTGGATTGTGAGACTATAACGGCCACATTGCACGATAAGATGTGAAAAATCAAGGTTTTATTTACCGAGTAGGGGGGCTGTTCTAGGGTCACTCGGTACTAAATAGATGCGGATCTATAGATATCTTGGGGGATTTCGTGTACCACTGTTGGTATGTGTGTAAGGGAGGTCGATTCCTCTTCTGCCGTGCATGTTGGGCAAGCGTGCATGCTCACTCGTGAACAACCAAGGTCTTGAGTCAACCGTTCTCCGCAGCCCCGATGAGCATCACCAATATCTCTGGTGAGTCCCTCACGTTTTACCCGAAACCGAATTGTTGTGATGTTCCGCATGCGGGTCCATTTTTCAAGCGATGGATTTCATAGTGTTGCATGACGAACAACTTGTATTTCGGTTCCCCGGGCAGTAAACAGGCCCAACAAACGGTTCGTTTGAATTTTCGTTTCCTTGCCCCAACAAACCTGGCTCTCCTCAACGACCAAAAGCGTCCAAAATCAATCATCCAGGGGTCCACGACGAAGGCAGACACACGTATAATCACACCGCAGGCGGTCAGGAAGTCATATCGAGGAGGCCTCCTTCCCTGAACCACACCCATAGTCTAGGGACTTAACAATATCGGTTGTAGTGAGCCGTGGAGGCTTCGAATTTGCTGACATAACGCCTTGGGATGTAAGCCTTTACCTACCGCGGCAACTTGGTGTCGCCTCCCAACTTCCCGCACTCTGACACTGGTACAAAACCTCCGCTTTTGGATAGGCGTGCGCATCTGCACTCGCTGGCAGTTGTGTCAATGTCTCAAATATCGACGCAGCCAAAGGTTGATGAACGACGTGCAGCACGTGCCGTGGGCCTTGGAACTCCGTAGATCAGCTTGATACCTTCTCGGCGGACCCCAAACGATAGGCCATTGGCCAAAGGATGGGAAGGGGGGGAAAGTATGATAGAGCGCATCACTGACGATTTGCGAGATGCTTGATGACAATGCCCAGATATCTGAGGCGAGACTATGGAGAAACGCAGGCGCCCTGGGATGTCGCGGTAGCGCTACACCCTTGTACAACCAGGCTGGGACTCAGCTTGCGTGATGGTGGAGCCGCCGAAGGGCTCAGGTTTATCCTTCCTTTTCCTTCTCCGTGCCTTTTCGATTCGGTTGACTGGGGACTATATCTTCGAGTGTATGGAGACTACTTGCGCGTTCGAGCTCTCCTTCGCACATGTACTTGGGGTTAGCATTGTGACCAAGAAAGGTCAACAAGATATATATCACGAGGATAAAAAAGATGGAATATCTCACTGTGGTCCCTCCCGCCATTCAACGCTGGGTGGTCACAAGAATATCTTCACGAGCGAGCCAAGTCTGCGCTCGACGCTTCAACGACCGAAACACGAGTTCAATACCCTTGGTTCACCCTACAACTTCTCTTGCCCACACGCCCCTTCACTCCGCGCCCCTCGATACCCGTGCCACGACAACAGCGCTCTCCAGCTGTCCTATCCTCGACGCCCTTTCGCCCATCAAAACCGCTGCCCTCACGGCGCACCCCCACTGCCGCCACCGCCGCCGCTCCTCCGGCCCCGACTCGCCGCCCCCGGTCCCTTCCCCGGCGGCAGCCGAACGCCGTGGGCCGCTCCCGCCCTGCGCGTCCCGGTGGACACCACGTCTCCGACGTTCTCGTCGCCGGCGGCGCCGCCCCCCCCGCCAAGGGCCGCCGCTAGCGCCGCTTCTCCGGCGCCCCCGCCGCCCGCCGTCGTTGCAAGGGCCGGCAGCACGGCCCGGCCGGCCAGCACCGGTCTGCCGCTGTCGGTGCTGGTCAGCATGCTCGCGACGAAGATGTCTGCGGGGGCGGACACCGGGAGGCTGTTGGCCAGGCGAGCTGCCGCCGGGCGGGTGAGGAGGTAGGCGTGCAGGCCCCAGGCGAACGTCACGGGGGCGACCACGAGCCCCAGAGCGGTGGCCGCCGCTGCAGCACCAGCACCAGCACCAGCGGCGGCGGTGTCCCCTGCTGGCGCCCCGTCCGTTGTGGTTGCCGTGTCCGTCGCCCCTCCTCCTTCTTCCACCCCGCCGTTGCCGTTGGCCGCGTTTTTCTTGGTTTTTGAGGCCCTGGCTATGCCGTCCATGATGGGAACGGGGAGACTGGAGGCGTGTACGACAGGCGGAGGGGTCATCAAGCGCGCGGGGTTGGGGGGGGGTAAGCAAAGCGGGCAACAAAGGTTTTGCGTCGTGGGAATGCAGTCCAAGAGCAAAAAAAAAAAAAACGCAGAAAAGGAGAACGTAGAGCTTGTCGATGAAGTACGGTTGGAATGGAATCATCGGGTGTGGCGCCGACTACGACGAGGCGAGGGAAAGGTGAGTGCTGACCCTGCCAAAACGATGTTGCACAGCAGAGCGCACAACACGCGATGCTTTGTTTTCCTTTGCGACGGTAGTTTGAATACGAAACAAACATGGTAGCCTGTCTTGCGTGTTCCACTCGGCTTGTGGTTCGGAAGGATTCTTGGGGGAGATAGGTGGGGGCGATATTCTCACATGTGGCCAAGGTAGATGATGTCCCATTCCTTGGAGAGCCCGATCGACTTCTTCTGCTCTCCCGGTGACGAACCGGAGACACGCACGTCCGGCACAGGTTGTAGATAGAAGTCACGCACGGCCCAAACGTTGTTGACACGCAGAGGAGGCAAGGTTTCCCGTCAAAAGGAGCCAGGGGTGTGAGTTTCACAGAGGTTCCTCGTTTTCATCACTCCAGCTGCAACTCCGCTCTCTCAAGGAGAATTCCACCACAAAATGCATCCGAAAAGCGCATTCGGAGTAACACACCAGGCGGCCATAGATACTACATTCGAGGCGCATGCGGAGAAAACACGACGAGCGTACGATCGGCCCGATTGCATCGTGGTTGGTTTTCGCGTTTTACTCGGCCTGTTATGTTAGACTGGCGCCTGTGTGTGCAGAGTTCCTGATGCGTGGTGTCTATTTTTAGGGGGAGCAAGAATCAACTGGCCAAATTTCTGCATGAGGGTGCGACACAACATACGCGCTTGGTGTCGGGAATTGAGTTATTTTGACGACACAAGAACCGCCGAAAACAAAGAATGACCGCAACGCACGGGCCTGAGCCGACGTCGATGTCCTCACGGAAACACCGGGTGAAAAACGCTTTTCGAAACGCAAAACGCCCCACACCACGCGGTCATCACTGAAAACCATACAAAAGTCCTGTTTATCCTTCGAGAAGGATGCGGGCCTTTCTTGTTTTACCGACCTTCCGCACTGTGTCCATGGCTGCAGCCTGTAGCATTGTAGCCTTGGCAGCCTTCAAGAACCTACAATGTCGCCGGGGGGATGGGTACGGGGCAGGCGGGAAGGGCAGGTGAACCCGCCGTTAATTAAAGTGAGGGCAAAAACGTGGATGGGAAAAAGGGTGCGATATCTCCCTCTTCTCCCTCTTCTCCCTCTTCTCCCTCTTCGCGTCCCCTGTGTTGTGGGTCATGACGATGATGAGTGAAGGCGACGAGCCCAAGATAGTCAACCATGAGCCGCACTCCGTGACCCGCACTACTACAGAACACTTCGTCGACGACGAAAATCAAATCCAGCCGCCGCACCGCCGAAAAGGTAGTCGGCAGGAATACCAGATTGACTGCTCGCGATCGGCGTTCATTACACCGCTCAAAGAAAACCACAGCAGAGCCGAGCGGAGACAGCCAGCTGACCGGACATACCACTGCGGAAGTGTGGAGAGGCCGCCGCCGAGATGACGCAAGCATGTGCTCTGACCGTGCTGTGTTTTTTCAGCGCCGCTATTCCCTGCCTCACTCCGTCACCACCAAAGACAACAAATACTCCAAGCTTGGACAATTTTACCGTTCACCGCCCTCGGACTGTGGTGGTGCCTGGAACGGATTGTTTGTCTGCGGATGTATGTGTACTGTCAAAGAATTCAATCCGATCCCGTTTCGCTCAAAAAAATCTCCCACGCGGGCCGTAGCGGCCTGAAACAGAAAAACAAACCACCATCCGAACACAGCAATCAGGTGGCGGCTGGATGGACGGACATACCCGGGCTCGAGCTTGGCGTCGTCTTCGAGGATGAGAACGGCGTCAGGGTGCACCTCCGGCATAAAGGGCGCCAGCTTCGAGTCTCGATGGCTTGTCGGGCAGGAAACGAACAGGCACCCATTTAGTAGACGGGACAAGGCGGCAATAGCCGGGGGGGGGTTGTGGGGTCTTTGAGAACAGAGAACAATGGCCGCCGGAGGTCATAGAAGAATGGTACCAGGACGCCAGGACGAAGGCGAAGGCATCGGGCACCGGGAACTGTGCTTGAACCCAAACAAAATGTAGTGCAGCGCGAAGCAGTCGCAGAGAAACACTTTGCTCGTCCGCTAGATAACAACCTGCAAACCCCTCTCGTTTGAACTCATGAAGCTGATCTAGACTAGGCCATAGAGTCCTCCTTCCTTGCTCACCGCCTCCAGAGGTCCAAGTGGCTCGCGGCGCACGCTCGCTCCGAAGGATGCATGACGTGGGTGGTCTCTTTTTCACAGTCCTTGTCGTAGCTGGCAAAAAAACAGGTGTACATGTCCGGGGGGAATGAACCCTCGGTGTTACAAATATTAGCATTGTTGTAGATAGCGTAGCTAGGCAACATTCGTTGAAGAGTTTGAGACGTTTCAATGAAGTAAATAGCACTCCTCTGTTCGCATTGGCGAAGACCAAAAAAAACTTTTCCAATATTGCACGCAACAGCTGCTGATCGGGAAGGCCTCAGGATGAGATGCTTCGCTTTCAGAGGGCACCGGGGCGGCACTCTGAAGTAGTCTACCCTCAATTCGGCACAAACTCATGCGTTAGCATATATTATTGTCGTGTTCCATCTCTCCCTGAGGACAACATGAGCGCCTTGGGTCACAACGGTTTTCAACTCGACGTCACCAACACCGGCAACGAAAAGAAGCAGCAGCAGCAGCAGCTACGACAGCAACTCAGACAACAACAACAACAACAACAACAACAACAACAACAACAACAACAACAACAACAACAACAACAACAACAACAACAACAACAACAACAACAACAACATCATCATCATCACCATACGCCACGGCTCACATGGTGTTGAGCTCCGTGGCCCAAGTCAAGGCCACCTCCTTGTCGCTGATCCACCCCTTCGCACTCATGGACGAAGCCTCCACAGCCTTCCAGTCGACAGCCTCGTGCCGGTGCAGCCACACTCCCTGCCGCCTCGCCGAATCTGAAACTGCCTTCCATCTTTCATGACACAACCAGGGGGGGGGGGGGGGG